ACCTTTAACCATTAATTAAGCTTCGTCTTTCCCAGCTATGATTCATAGAATTTAATTACATTTACTTTCAATGTTAAAAAGTGTACCAAAAATATGTCTGCATTCAATAACAAGGGTCTATTCTCGATTTGATGATTAATTACTACCGGAGAGAAACAAGAAAACACACTAAAATAACTTGAAGTCATTTTCTTGAGAATAGTGCCCCTCCCCATCATACTTTGAATGACTGAAAAGAACCTGCATTCAGGACTGAGGACCTGGCTGGGCACATGACTCACACCTGTAATACCAGTAGTTTGGGAGACCGAGGTGGGTGGATCACCTGAGGCAGGAGTTTGAGACCAGCCTGAGATCAGCCTTGGCAACATGGTGGAACTCTGTTTCTACTAAAAATACAAAAAATTAGCCGGGTGCGGTGGCAGGCACCAGTAATCCCAGCTACTCTTGAGGCTGAGGCAAAAGAATCGCTTAAACCTGGGAGGTGGAGGTTGCAATGAGCCTGGACCGAGTCTGGACCTCACCACTGCACTCCAACCTGAGTGACAAGAGCAAAACTCCATCTCAAAAAAAAAAAAAAAAAGAAAGAAAGAAAGAAAAAGAAAAAGTAGAAGGAAAAAGGACTGAGGACCTGTGTGAGAGACAGGCACTACTGAGAAATCAGGCACTTGAATATTGCCTCTGTGAGCACAACAGACATTTTATTACTGCACTTTTTTTAAGAAGCAGGGCCTTGCTCTGTTGCCAAGACGGGCGTGCAGTGGTGTGATATAGCTCACTGAGGCCTCAACCTCCTGAGCTCAAGCAATCCTTCCACTTCAGCCTCCTAAGTAGCTGAGACTGCAGGCACACACCACCATGTGTGGTGTGTGTTGTGGAGACAGGGTCTCACTATGTTGCCCAGGCTGGTCTTGAACTCCTAGGCTCATGCTATCCTCCTGCCTCAGCCTCCCAAACTTACTGGGATTACAAGTATGAGCCACAATGCCTGGCTGACATTTTATTATTGATCATCCCTGGTATTAACCTCTGCCCTCCAAAGACTGCTGAATAGTGAGACCCCCTAAAAAGTTAAGTGCGACAATATTTACACGAAAGCATTGACTCAGCAATACCACATCTAGGATTTAGCCATCCAAACGTATTTGCACATATACAAAAAGACATTATGTCAGAGTTATTCTTTGAAGCATTGTTATATGTATATCATTTTTACTACAGCACTGTAATAGTTAAAAATTGGAAACAACCTAATTTGTAGTTTAACAGGCATATCTTGAAAATATTAAACCAATGTGTCCAGCAAAAGGGACCTTAAAAAAATTAACTGCGGTATATCCACACAGTGGACTACTCTGTAGTTGTAAAATAAAGAATAAAGAAGCTCTATATATATTTATATGGAAACTTCTTAAAGGGGAATAAATGAGAATATGCCATTGTGTTTACAAAAAGCAGCACAGGAAGGATACAACGGGAACTCATAAGGGGAGTCAAGGGGAACAAAATAGATGGGTACGGGGTGAAAGCAACACTTTTCAATGCATAATTGTGTGTGTGTGTTGATTTTAGAATCATGTGAATTTATTACTGATCCAAAAAAAAAAACTTAACTGGGAGCCTGGTATGTCATAAAAGACATTCTTATCACATTTTAACCAAGTTGTAAGAAATCCAGGTTGTTCTCAATTTCTTATTAAACAATACTACAATCAATATCCTTGTAGCGAAATCTTTACCTGCTTCATTCGTTATCGCCATAAAATAAAGTTATAAAATAGAATTTCTAGATTAAAGATTAGGGGAGGTATATTTTTTAAGACTTTTTTTTTTTTTTGAGACAGGATCTTACTCTGTTGTCCAGGCAGGAGAGCAGTGGCATGATCATAGCTCATTGTAGCCTCAAACTTTTGGGCTCAAGCAATCCTTCCACCTCAGCCTCCCAAGCAAGTTGGGACCACAGGCATTTACCATCATACCAGTTAATTTAAAAAAAAAATAAATTGTAGAAACGGGGGTCTCACTATGATGCCCAGGCTGTTCTCAAACTCCTGGCCCCAAAGGATCCTTTCATCTTGGCCTCCTAAAGTGCTGGAATTACAGGCATGAACCACTGTGCCCAGCCTCATGGCTTTTTAACATCTATTGGCAAATCAAGCTCCAGAAAATCTGTATTAATTTCTTTACAATTGAAAAAGTTTACGTATAAAACCTTTATAAACCTGAAGACCCATGTGGTTTTGTCTTAGAAATGAGTCACTTTCAAGAAACATAAAACAATTATCAAAAGTAATTTAGGGGCTAGGTGCTGTGAATCATGCGTATAATCTTAGCATTTTGGGAGGCTGAGGTGGGAAGATCATTTGAGCCTAGGAATTCAAGACGAGCCTGGGCAACATGGCAAGACCTCATTTCTTGTTTGTTTTCCAAAAATAAAAATAAAAATAAAAAAATAATAAAAAGCTGAGTGTGGTGGTAGGCACCTGTATTTCCAACTATTAGGGAGGCCAAGGCTAAAAGACTGCTTGAGTCTGGAAAGGCCAGGCTGCAGTGAGCTATAATCACACTAATGCACTCCAGTCTAGGTGACACAGGGAGACCCTGCCCCTGACAAAGAAAAAAGTAAAAATAAAAAAATAATTTGGGGGTCAAGCTCAGTGGCTCAAGGCTGTAGTCTCAGCTACTCAGGAGGCTGAAGTGGGAGGATCACTTGAGCCTAAGTTTGAGGCTACAGTGAGCTATGATTGTGCTACTGCACTCCAGCTTGGGTGACAGACTGAGACCCTGCCTCCAAAAAATAAATAAATAGCAAACGTAATTTTAAAAAATTATCTGAAAATCAGATTTACCTGACAAACCCTGAGCTCTCTCTCCCTTTATACACATACGGACACATATTCTGAGTAGTGACACATATTCCCTCTCCCATTTAGAAGAATCCCTAGATGTGGCTCTATCTGGCCATCTCAGGCTGACCCAACAATTCCACCCTCCCTATTCAGGAGTATCATTGAGAGATGTTATTCTGAGGTGGTGTTAACCTACTCCAATTTCCTGGCTTTATACGAGTGGAGTGGCTGCCATGCACTAGGATTTGTGGGGGAAGCAATAGAAACCATTCAGATTTAATACTGTCAAAATATTACACCTGTTAAATTTTTATTCTTCTTGTCTCCCAAGTGGATTCCAATATACAATCTTCTGGCCCTGTATCAAAGTATCCTTACCTCATCCATTTTTCTCATGTCCAGTTGTGTGTTGAAAACCCCTCCCCTGAGGCTCTGTAGCAACTCCAGTCTATAAGGCTTTTCTTTCCACCCCTTGGCCTCTTCCCCTCCCTAAGCACTTTATCATGTAGTTCAGCTAAGCGTTTCTCACCAGAAAAACTCCAGAGAGAAGTCTCTTTCAGAGATAAGGAGAAGAGACTGTGGGCTTGCAATTAGAGACACCTCTTTGACTAGAAGGAGAAGTCCGTTAATAATTTTCACCAAAGTCATCTGCACTTCCCCAGTTCTCGCCAGCTTTGTGAGCCCAAGTGGGGTTGTAAGTTACCTCCAAGTACCTAATGCAAAGTCTTCAGCCCCTCTCAAAATCCCACTCAACTGATCCAGTTTCTCTGGGTTCACACCCAGTTCAGTCTATGAACTCCAGCGGAAGTAGGGCTTTTGCCCACCTCTGGAAAGGAAGGCCCCTCTGCTGCCCTCCTGCAGCAGCTGTGAGTGATCGCCTGCCTGGAATTGCCTCTGCTCTCCTGGACTCACTGGCAGATGCAGTTCCAGGCACTTTCTACACCACACTGGGACACAACCTGAAAGGGAGGGAAATTCTGGCCCTGTTCATGGGAGGTGGGGTAGAAATTGATGGCTGAATGTCCAGTCTCCCTGTGCTACTGTGAGCAACCATGTGGCATGTTCCACACGGTCTGCAGGTCAACTGGAGGAGCCCCAGTGGCACCCTGCTTATTAGCATATAGTGTATGGGCCCTTCTCCCTTCTCTGTCTCACTTCCCCTCCACCTGTCTGGGAGTCTCCTGAAACCCAAACCAAGACAAATCCCAATAGCACTTTATTTTTCTTTCTCTCTCTTTCCTTCTTCCTTCCTTCCTTCCTTCCCTCCTTCTCTCTCTCTCTCTTTCTCTCTCTCTCTCTCTCTCTCTCTCTCTCTCTCTCTCAGTCTTGCTCTGTCACCAGCTGGAGTACAGTGGCACGATCTTGGCTCATTGCAACCTCCACATCGCGGGTTCAAGTGATTCTCCTGCCTCAGCCTCCCGAGCAACTGGGATTACAGGTGTGCGCCACCACGCCCTGCTAATTCTTTGTGTTTTTAGTAGAGATGGGGTTTCACCATGTTAGCCAGGATGGTTTCCATCTCCTGACCTCAAGAGCCACCCGCCTCAGTCTCCCAGAGTGCTGAGATTACAGGCATGAGCCACCGCACCCGGCCTGTTGCACCATTTTCTAAGCATCCACTGTCTCCCTGGGGACGGCATGTCCATTCCCAGAAAAAGCTCCTACTCTGCCAAGGGTGGTCAGTATTTGGAGTTACTACAACGACATCTACAGGTCTCCAAATCTGTGTAGATGCAACCGTGCTTTAACTCATCTTAGAGGATTCCATGAAAGCACCAGCAGGCAGATGTTCCCAGGGGTCTGTCTGTTTGCCCCCATTGAATAGGGCAGGTGTGGTCCATGAGCAGAGAAGCCTCTAGCTGAAGTCGAAAAGCATGAGCTATGCCAAAGAATATGCCCAGGGCGTGTAACTGGCTACCTCATCATCTTCCTTGAGCAACAGAGCCTCTTTTGCCTCTGTCTCTGGAGTTTGCCCTGACCCTATAGAACACCTGCCCAATCGCAGCCCCTCCCCAGGAGGAAAGCAAACAGCTGGCTCTCCAGCCTTTGATCAGGCCCGAAGAGATGCTAAGAGGGGAGGAGAGTGGGGTCAGTTTCACTTAAGGTGGGAAAGTCTGAATCACAGAACGTCACAACCTAAAGAGATTCGAAGTTCATTCACCCACACATTTTTTAATTGGCAGTCCTGTGGACTGTGTTCAGTCTGAGACAAGTTCTCTTTAGCCAAAATAAAGATCTTGCTTTAACAAACCCAAAGAGTATTTTTTAAGTTCTCAAATTCCAGATTCCCTTGAAAAAAAAAAAAAAAAAAAAAAGGGAAGCTCTGACATAGAGGAGTCTATATTCTGACCTGCCAATTATCCGCTGGCTGGGTGGCTGGGGTTTAACAATGGGGAACACCTTTTCAGACCTTCAGGATCCTGCCACAGGTCCAATCCTGTACACCCAGAGTCCTGAGCACCAGTCATTTGAATGGGCACTTCCTGTGTTTAACCAGGGAGATCGTGGGAGGAGTTAGAGCCTGTTAGAAGCAAAGTGGAGGGCTCCAGACTCTCGGGACAGATGGGCTGAGGCACTCCTGGGATATGGCCCTGGAATCTGATAGCAGTGGTCATCCCAAAGTTTGAGTGAGGACTACAGGAGCTTTGAGCAGGGCAAGCTGCCCCCATCCCCAGCTTCCTCCTGGGAGCCTCCTTCACCGCCATCGCCAAAAGGTCCACACTGCACTCGTCGGAGCCAGGCTTTCCTTGAAAGAGTCCCCTTGTAGTAGGCGCGGACGCTGGCACTGGGCACCTCCGGAAGACAGTACGCTCCGCTCCTGCGCCCGATACCCGGGTGCCGTGCCACGGCTAGCGGCAGAGGGCGGTGCTCGCTGTTCCCAAGCGCACGGTCGAAACCCGGCTACTGTGGTCCTATTCAGACTGTAGGCGAAGACGCTGAAATCCCTGAGGGGGTGGCCCCCGCCGCCCCGGGACCCGCGTCAGGGAGGCCAGAGCTACGGTGCCCGGCGCCCTGGATGCACCAGCCCGAGAGCACGCGGTGGGGTGCGGGAGCTGGGCACCCACCCTCGGCCTCGGTTCGGAGGCTGGCGGGGACCCCGGGGCGGAGTCGAGCGCGGGGAGGGGCTCACAGGTCGGCGCCACAGGAAAGAGCTGCGGGGGCGAGTGCCAACTCCAGCTGGAACCCAGAGACCGCGACGCGCCGAGGGAGCGCGCCAGGGCGAGGAAAAAAGAGGGACATTACCCACGCAGCGGCTCTGCAAGTGCAAGCCCCGGTCCTGGAGGCGAAAACCAAGCGGCCCGCCGGCACCCAGCCACCCTGTTACCCTCGATCCGGCTTCCGGGGCCGCAGAGCGCACAGAAAGGAGGCGCCGAAGCAGGTAAGGGCTCAGATCCGTGCAGTCCCGGGACTCCATCGGTGCGGTGGGGGAGTCGCTGGAAAAGGGCTTCCGACGCCTACTTTTTCCTCTGGGGCATTCTGGCTGCGTTGCCTCTCGCCACTCTCGAGATGTGTCGGGGCTGGCTCCAAGAAGGAGAGTTGGTTTTGGAGATACTGTACCCTCTGGGCCCTCTAGGACCGGGCAGGGGACGGTAAGCCGGGCCTGGGGTGCGCGGGCGCGGGCGGAGGGATCCAGCACGTAGCTGAGCTCTCGGGCGAGCTCTACATCGCCGGGGAGGGTGCAGGCAGAGGGGCACCTTCCTGAAAGGTGTGCAGAATAGCAAGCGTCCGTGGGGAAATTCCCGCGCACCGCATCCTCCACCCACCGCAGCCTTTGCTTCTGGAGCCTGAATTTGTGACTTGGTTCCTGCCCCTGCTAGGGCGTCGCCTCCAGACCTCGATCGCGCGGCCGCGTTGATGGGGCTGGAAGGGGGTTGCTGGAACGGGTTGCTCCCGGACGGGTAGTGCAATCTGTGAAAATGCGCCCGGGACCTATCCCAACCCGGGCGCGCGTCCTCTCCTCTTGGGTTAGGGGACTGGAAAGCCTACGAGGGGTAGGATTCCCGATTCTTGGTCCCTGGCTGAGCAGAAGCTGCGGGGATTGGGGTGTCGCATGAGACGGAGGGGCGACCTGGAGGGAAGGCACCTCCGGATGTGGATGCCACTGGGATTTGCACCTCACCTCTTGGAGGTGTTCACCTTGGGAAAGGAGCTAGCGGGCGCATCCCAGGTTAGCGTGTCTTTCACTGGAGTGCAGTTCCTGTCCCTCGGCGTTCTTCTGTTCTCGCAGGAGTGGACCAAATGCGTTGTCCATCTGGGTCTTCTCCTTGCTACGCAGCACCCCGCGGCGCCCACATATGAGGTCGTTTCCAGGTGTGCTGAGAGGTGAGGGGAAGGCCACTCACAGTTGGACAGCCAGGGCCCCTTTCTGTGGGTGTTGGGGTCTGGGTTCTTTTTCCAGCCCCTCGGTGCAGCCTTGCACCCTGGGGTGCCCTATCTCCTCCAGGCTCAGGGCTTCAGAGACTATTTTCCCTATTTTGAGATCTTGGTGACATAATTGGTGTCTTTCAGGCAGGGTTGACTCTGGGTGGAGAACTAGAGCCAAGTGAAGGAGGTCAAGGAGCAGATCCAAAGGAGTGGGAGTGGTGGGGGAAGGCGGACAGAGGATTTCTTTCTGGAGCTCATTCCCTAAGAACAGGGGAGCAAGAGGGGAATTCCACTCCCCCCCCCTCGCCAATGCAGCCTCCTCCACCTACAGCATCCTGGTCATGCACTCAACAGATTCCTGTCCAGCCCACATTATGCACCAGGCACTGGACTGGGCAGCAAGAATTGGGTTTACAGGAAGATTAGGACTCGGAGAACATAAATCACTGGCCCAGGGTGACTCAGTCTGTCCATGTGAAAATGGACTTGATGATTTCCAAGTCTGTGGCTTGGTCAGTACAGAGGGAGTGATGTCCTGCTTTTGGAGAGAAGACCCTGCAGTGTCCTGGCCGTCCTGCTTCATTGTCCCTGGCCAACAGGTGCCACAACATTGCAACTGCTGTAGGAGCCGGGCCAGCACCTGGGAGCAGCCTTGGAAGAGTTCCAGAAGCCCCTGTAGGAGCTGATGCATGGGAAGCTGGAGGATGTGACTGGGCAGACAGAGAGGCCCTGGCCCCTGGGCAAAGGGCAAAGGTGCACGTTCTTCTTGAGAGTTTTAGAGAGTTTGATCCATCCTATGCTATCCTTCCCGGCAGCTGGGCAGCTATAGAAGGCTTCCCAGCTTACAAATCTATGGTCTCCTCTCCTAGCATCCTGGGTAGTTCCATCTGGGTAGGCAGTGGGTCTGGTTGGCCTATACCTGGGGAACTCGGGGAATGTGACCAGATATTCTCCTGCATGCTGTCCACTGGCTGTGCCTCCTTCCAGGATCCAGGATGGTGAGTCAAGTCTCCCCAAGGATGTGGGCAGGGTGCTAGGCTCACCGACCCCGAGAGAGCAGGAGGTCTGCACCCCTACCCCTTGCACCTCCCTCACACCACTTTTCTTGCAGGCGTCACCATGGCAGTCCAGAATGGAAGCACCAGTTTTGCACCCAACTTTAATCCACCCCAAGACCATGCCTCCTCCCTCTCCTTCAACTTCAGTTATGGTGATTACGACCTCCCTATGGATGAGGATGAGGACATGACCAAGACCCGGACCTTCTTTGCAGCCAAGATTGTCATCGGCATTGCACTGGCAGGCATCATGCTGGTCTGTGGTGTCGGTAACTTTGTCTTTATCGCTGCCCTCACCCGCTATAAGAAGCTGCGCAACCTCACCAATCTGCTCATTGCCAACCTGGCCATCTCCGACTTCCTGGTGGCCATCATCTGCTGCCCCTTTGAGATGGACTACTATGTGGTCCGGCAGCTCTCCTGGGAGCATGGCCACGTGCTCTGTGCCTCTGTCAACTACCTGCGCACCGTCTCCCTCTACGTCTCCACCAATGCCTTGCTGGCCATCGCCATTGACAGGTGAGGATGGTGGGTGGGGTGAGTGATGGGGCTGAACCAGGCTGTCTCTTTCTTCACTTGGGCTCTGACAGGCTGGCATTGCTCCAGGTAGAAATGCTAACCAATCTATGGAGGGCAAAAGGAGGTCTTAATTCTCCAGGTGTATTCTTACTTCTCCAAATGTGAGCAAGACTGAGGCTGCTGAAAGGCCCATCTCTGAGCCATGCCCCCAGATACCACACTTGCTTCGATACAGGCATGCCACATGACAGTATGTGGGATCAACACAAAGGGAAAGCAGACAGGGCAGGCAGCTACTACCTAGAAGCCACATGAGTGTTAACAAGGGCAGCTTCCAGACAGGAAAACATGTACCAAGCTTTTCCTATAGCCACCATCCAGGTGGAGATGTAACATTTACATCACCTAGAGAATCTTCTCTGCTCCTCACCAGTCAATCCTCCCCACCAGGAAACCACTAATCTGACTTCTATCATTACAGTTCAGCTTCACCTGTTCTTAAAAAAGAAATCATACCGTATGTGCTCTTGCTTCTGGTAGACTTTGTTGCAGAGCTGATTTTAAAATGAGATAACAGGGTTCATTTATGCAAAACAGGAAAAGACATGCTTGCTTTTGCTTTTCTGTATATATTGGTGTGCTCATTTGCATACATTTGCATAAGATATTCCAGAAGTCCTTGCTCTATTTTATTTTTTCCTTTCTTTTATGTATTTATTATTTTATTTTATTTTTGGCATTTATTCTTTTTAATTGACATGTAGTAATTGTATATACTTATGGGGTACAGAGTGATATTTTGATGCATGTATGCAAATGTGTAATGATCAATCAAGTTAATTAGCATATCCATCACCTCAAATGTTTATCATTTTTTTGTGTTGGAAACATTCAAAATCCACTCTTCTGGCTATTTGGAAATTATATAATGAATTGTGTTAGTTATATTCACCCTATAGTGCTGTAGAACACCAGAACTTATTCCTCCTCACCAGCCCTTGCTTTATTTTAAATTTATAAAGTAAAATACATAATAGAGGTTTATGACAAACCTTACACATGTTTTGTTTATGTGAACAGTTGCAGGCCAGCATGGGGCCATCACTGGCTCTGTTCAAGGAGACAATTGTCACCTTCTCTTGGTTTCTGTCCACCACTGTAAGCTGTGCTCATTTGGATGATCTACTTAGTCATCTTTTTTCCTTTCATCTTTTCAACTCTTCAGTTTTTCCCTTGCTTGTTCTCAGTGCTGTTCAGGTTTGTTCTCTTTAATCAACCACTTTAATATTTTTCATTTTGGTAATAAAATACACAGACAGGTGTAGGAGGCATCCTCCTTCCTTTGCATAACATAATTCCTGCAGGAAGAACAACTTTTTAACAACTCTGAGACTCCACCCCTGAAATAAGCCTTTATGAAATGTGTACCTATCAAACAACTGCACAAAATTATCCAGGGAAAATGGTGCAGAAGTATTATTTGATAGACAGTTACAAAGTCAGGCTGGGTGTGGTGGCTCACACCTGTAATCCCAGCACTGTGGGAGGCCAAGACAGGCAGATCACCTGAAGTCAGGAGTTTGAGACCAGCCTGGCCAACATGGTGAAACCCCGTCTCTACTAAAAATACAAAAATTAGCTGGGCATGGTGGTGAGTGCCTGTAATCCCAGCTACCTGGGAGGCTGAGGCAGGAGAATTGATTGAACCCAGGAGGCAAACGTTGCAGTGAGCCAAGGCTGTGTCATCGCACTCCAGTCTGGGTAACAAGAACAAAACTCCATCTCAAGAACAAAAAAAAAAAAAAAGACAGAAAGATACAACATCAGATTTCTGGGCTCCACCCCAGCTTCTTGAATGGGAAACCCTTGAACTGATGAAATATATATGTATGGGAGTTTAAAGTATTAACTCACATAATCACAAGGTCCCACAATAGGACATCTGCAGACTAAGGAGGAGAGCCAGTCCGAGTTCCAAAACTAAAGAACTTGGAGTCCAGTGTTGGAGGGCAGGAGGCATCCAGCATAGGAGAAAGATGTAGGCTGGGAGGCTAGGCTGAGGTCTCTTTTCACATTTTTCTGCCTGCTTATATTCTAGCTGAGCTGGCAGCTGATTAGATTATGACCACCCAGATTAAGGGGGGTCTGCCTTTCCCAGCCCACTGACTCCAGTGTTAATCTCCTTTGGCAATGCCCTCACAGACACACCCAGGATCAACACTTTGTATCCTTCAGTCCAATCAAGTTGGCACTCAGTATTAACCGCCACAGAGAGTGAGTACTGTTCCCATCTCCCGTGTCCCATGGAAACCTTTGTCTTTATAATGCTGGTTTAATTTGGTTTCGTTTTTTGGAACATTGGAGTTTCTTGGAAGCAATCGCCTTGTTACGACAACATAGACAACAGAGTGGGTCCTTTTCTACCCCAAACCAACTCTGCCCCTAGTCAGCCTGCAGCTCCCTCAGCAGCTGCTCCATCCTCTCAGCCATCCAAGCAGGGAAAAGTTACCATCATCCTTACCCTTTTTCCCTGTCCTACCTCCACTCATCCCACCCCATGTGTTCAGACATGCAGCAAGTCCAGGCAGCTCACCCTCCAGCTTCATCTCTTAGAAGGTCATAGCTGGACCGTTGTAATACTCTACTAACCTGTCTTTTCACTCCTCAGGGGCTCCTGACTGTTCCCTGAAGTCTATACTTATTCATAGGAAGCATAGGAATGCCACCACTGATGGATCTTCCTAGACATTTCATTACTTACAAAATGTCTAGAAATCCAAGTGCTTACGGAATACATATCAAATCCTGAGCCTAGCATTCCAGGGCCCTTGTAATCTGATACCCATATTTAATTTGCTGTCTTTCTAAATTCATGCTATGTATGGAAATACTGATAGTATTTTCCAAAAGACAATTTGTTTTAAGCACAGTAACTATGTGTTCTATCTTTCTCCACAGTACCTAGCACAGGGACTTACACCTGTGTCTTAGCTTGAGTTACACCCAAATCGGACTCTAAGACAAAGATTTATGTGCAGGTGACAACCAAGAAGTACTTAAACAAGCTTTCACTGTGGGCAATTAGCACATATCCTGCTGAGGGACTCTTGGAGCCAGAGTAGACCACAGCTCTACAGAGAGTTCTTCCAGAGGTGGGAGGTATAAATATCCCAGCTCCCCATAAGTCATTGATGAGGGTTGCTCTGGAAATGCTGTACAGGTGGCAGGTGGTAGGACAGGGAGAAAGGGTAAGGATCCTCTTCTCCAATCAGCTTCTAAACTAATTGAAAAAAACACAGTAAAACGGTAAGAAAGATGAATAGCCAAACTCTCACCTTTGCCTGGATGATGCTGATTTTGGAGAAGGGGGCTTTTATCAGTGGGCAGAGTCAATCCCAGAATTAGATAGGCCTGTGTACCCTGACACAAGTAGGGTGGGAGAAGCACAGGTCTCTCTGTCCTGCTACACAGAAATATCAGAAGGGCCATCCAATGCTGTTTCCATATGCCACAGGCAGCTCCATCTAGAGAGGGCCCCAGAAGAGGTGCTATTTCAAGTCATAGAAATACTAGAAGGAAAGGATTGGCCTCAAGAAACATTCAAGCAGACAGATGAAAACAAAGACCTTGCAGAGATTCCTCTTGCCAATGAATGAGTCACAGGAAATGATTAGTTTAAGCAATGTGCAATAGCTTTCAACAGCCCTTATGTATGTTTACCTTCTCAGAACATGACCAAAAGCCTTAGAGATTGTCAGTGATGTTAATTATCCCCACTTCACAGACAAAGATACTAAGTCCCCCAAGCATAAGTGATTTATCCACGTGCACAGTTTGATTCCAGGTACACAGCTGGAATCCAGGTCTTCTGAATAACTCCTAGGCCAATGTTATTGCTTTCTGATTTATTTGATGACAACTCTGAATTTTGGAACATCCTACAGTGAGGAAGATGTTATTGGAGGAAAAAGAATGAGAACTAGGAACTGACAACAGAATAAGGAGGAGTGTGGAAATTCCCTTTGGCATGGGTTATTGAAATACTTTTCATGATAAAGCCAGATTGAGAGAGAGCTTTTAAGTTCTGAATTAGTTCTGCCTATCTAAAGGCTTTGGACTCAGTATGGGAGGCAGAATAATGTCCCTCTCCCAAGGATAACCACATCCTAATCCCCAGAATCTGTCAACATGTTACATTACATGCCAAAGGGGAATTAAGGTAGCAGATGGAATTAAGGTTGCTAATCAGCTGATCTTAAAATACAGAAATTATACTGGCTTATCTGGGTGGGCCCAATGAAATCAGAAAGATCTTTAACTGTAGAAGAGGGAGGCAGAAGAGTCTGTGTCAGTCATACAATGAGAGAAATTTGATTGGCCCTTGCTGGCTTTGAACAGGGAAGAAGTCACCAGCCCTGGCATGCTGAAATCCCTAGTAAAGGCAACAAAAACATATTCTCCCCATCAGCACCTCCAGAAAGAAATGCTGCCTTGCCAACATCTTGATTTTAGCACGGTGAAAACTATGTCAAATTTTTTACCTCCAAAACTATAAGACAATACATTTGGGTTGTTTCAAGCCACTACATTTGTGGTAATTTGTTACAGCAGCAATAGAAGACTAATTCACTGAGTCATCACGGAAAGATAGGGATTGTGAGATGTCCCTGCCCCATCAAGAATGGGCCTGACCATTTGTTCCATTCTCCAGCCCCTGTGAGCCTTGTACCATGCAGGCAGGTCATGCAGGTTAATTTGGCAAGGCCAGGTCACATGCATGGGTGAAGAACCCCAGCAACCACTGTGCATATTGATATACCTAGCTAGGGTGCAGCCAGTGGTTGGGGGAGGATCCACCTTCATCCCAGATCTTCAGAAAGTCAAAAGTTGGGGAGAGTCATGCTGCTTTGGTATCTCCTCTAACGGAATTCAATGGATCAGAGCCACTAGCAGGCAGGGGGTACACAAGAGAAGATAAAACAACTTTGTGGCAGAAATATTGGCAGGGACAGGAAGAAATAACATGACAGAAGGCCTTCTTAGTCCAGTCAGAGACTTGGAAAGGGTGGCTAAAGGGTCACAAAGGAAAGGCAAGTGGGATAGAATTTCCTACAGGCAGCATCCGGCTCTTGTTCTCACCTGACTCAAGCTCCAGGTAGGAAGCACACGTTCATTTCTAGGGTTGATTTGTTTCCTCCCTGTCCTTCATGCCTCTTGTCTGCATCTACCTCATCCCAAAGCATTCTTCTCCTACCCCAACCATAAGATGCACAGAAATGATGCCAGGGCACCAAGTGTCTAAATAGGTGTCATTAGGTGTCCCTGGAAAGAAAGTATGCAGCCCACACAAATGAGCTCACTTCCCACAAAGGACTCCAGTTTCTCTCCCAGATAGTGTGGCTCATTGGAAAGAGCAAGAATTATGGTGTCAAGGTGACTTCACATACCTTCTCACTTGAGCACAAGATGGCCCAGGGAGGTAGGAGCATAAGCTTTGTATCAAGAGCCTGGATTCTGGTCCCTGCATGATGTAAGCTTGGACAAGGCGTTTACTTTTCATTAGAGTCCTTAGATTCCACCATAAGACCACCTTGAATCTCCTGCCTCTGAAATGCAGGATGACAGCTCATGGGAGGGGAAGCAAGTTCTTACCCATTGCCCTGAGAAGGTCCCCCACCTCTTTCTGTGGGGCACAAGCCTTTCCTTCATCTAAACCATGAGGTATTTGAAATGAAGAGCTTTGAGAGTATTATATGTTCTTGGGAAGAATGGCAAGATGGAAACCCAAGGTGGTATAATAGGATGCTTAAGAACAGTAACAGGCCACAAGTATTTATTGAATACCTACTATACACAAAGCATTTTACAAAAATTACTGCATTTAATGTTCACAGTAGCCCTGCAAAGTAGGTGTCCTCTTATCCCAGGTTGCATTTGAGGAAATGAAGCTCAGAGAGATTGGATAATTCATCCTAGACCCCAAAGCCAGTCCAGGGAAAAACCAGAATTTATTCAGCCTGTTTGACCCAAAGCCTGTGCTGTCTTCACCAAAATACTCCACTACTCCAAATGATATTGCTAAAATAAGATGAAGCTTGTTAAAGCTGGATAACAGGTACATGAGGACTCATTGCCCCACTATGTCTGCTTTAGTGTATGTTTAGGGTTAGTTAAAAACTAACGTTTCCAAGCATCCATTATTACTACTGTTGGCTTCCCTCCCCCACCAGGTATCTTGCCATCGTTCACCCCTTGAAACCAAGGATGAATTATCAAACGGCCTCCTTCCTGATCGCCTTGGTCTGGATGGTATCCATTCTCATTGCCATCCCATCAGCCTACTTTGCAACAGAAACCGTCCTCTTTATTGTCAAGAGCCAGGAGAAGATCTTCTGTGGCCAGATCTGGCCCGTGGATCAGCAGCTCTACTACAAGTCCTACTTCCTCTTCATCTTTGGTGTGGAGTTCGTGGGTCCTGTGGTCACCATGACCCTGTGCTACGCCAGGATTTCCCAGGAGCTCTGGTTCAAGGCAGTCCCTGGGTTCCAGACAGAGCAGATCCGTAAGCGGCTGCGCTGCCGCAGGAAGACAGTCCTGGTGCTCATGTGCATCCTCATGGCCTACGTGCTATGCTGGGCACCCTTCTATGGTTTCACCATCGTACGCGACTTCTTCCCCACCGTGTTCGTAAAGGAAAAGCACTACCTCACTGCCTTCTACGTGGTCGAGTGCATCGCCATGAGCAACAGCATGATCAACACTGTGTGCTTCGTGACGGTCAAGAACAACACCATGAAGTATTTCAAGAAGATAATGCTGCTGCACTGGCGTCCCTCCCAGCGGGGGAGCAAGTCCAGTGCCGACCTTGACCTTAAGACGAACGGGGTGCCTGCCACGGAAGAGGTGGACTGTATCAGGCTGAAGTGACCCACTGGTGTCACACAATTGAAAACCCCAGTCCAGTACTCAGAGCATTACCCACCATCAACAAAGTTCACAGGCTGCATGGGAAACGACATCTGTGCTCATGTCTCCCCAGTGCCCTCAAGAAGCTGAATGCTGCAAAGTCATAACATGCAATGAGACTAGACATGAACCACAACAGCTGACATTTACTGATATCTGCTCAACACCTGCTGTGTGCACAATCCCAGCAAGATTAGACATAAGGAGCAGCAACTGACATGGACTGAACATCGACTGTGTGCAAACTACACCAGTGAGATTAGACGGGGACAGTGGGAGCTGACATTTACTGACTACCTACTGTAATCAAAAACATTTGATTTGATTACAATCAAAGAACGTTAAAAAAAAAAAAACAAAAAACAAAAAACAGAACAGAACAAAATGGCAGAAGCTATTGGAGTCCCCAAGCTATCTCCAGATATATAGATAGCTCATCCTCCACCTTCCCTAATTCTGTATCTTATCACTGCAGGAACCTCAAAAGGCTATAGTCTGAGCATGATGGCTCATGCCTATAACCCCAGCACTTTGGGGGCTGAGGAAGGTGGATCACTTGAGGTCAGGAGTTCAACCCAGTGTGGCCAACATGGTGAAACCCTGTCTCTACTAAAAATATAAAATTAGCCAGGCGTGGTGGCACATGCCTGTAATCCCACCTACTCGGCAGGCTGAGGCAGGAAAATAGCTTGAACCTGGGGGTCAGAGGTTGCAGTGAACCAAGATTGCTCCACTGTACTCCAGTCTGGGCAACAGAGAGAGACTCTGTCTCAGGAAGAAAGAAAAAAGGCTATAGAAGAAGGCCCTTAGACACAATGGAAATGTAAGAATAAGTTTATCAGTGCGGGGTTTTCAGCACCATGGGAGGAGTGTTAAAGCCATCACATTGAACTTTCCCACCCACCTCCTATTGCCTCCCAGGACATTCTCTAGGATTTTGCCTTCAAGAGAACAAACCTTATAGTCAAGCCAGCCTGATATGGTTACCCACAATGGTGTAATTTCAAAGGAAAGAACCTAAAGATCACTTTCCCACTGATGCTTGAAAGCTTACTTTATTTTGGTGGAGATGGGTAATCCTGAGGTGTCAGTTTTTGACACGTCAGTGCAAAAGATGTCAGGGGCTCTGGAGTCAGAGCGGAAGAGGATAGAGAAAAAAGTGGTGGTTGCCACTGGCAATGAACAAAATCTGAGTGGGTGTTTTGCTAAGGACTGAACCACTTTCTAGAGCACACCTTCTTTTACAAAAGGAATTCTACCTGGAATCTAAAGTCCTGGGTTCAGGTACTAACTCTAAGACTCATGTCCTAAACTTATGATGTTTTCTCTCTGTGTCTCAGTTTTGCTTTAATGAAATGGCAATGATGAAAATACTTGCTCTGCCTACCTTGCAGGACCATTGGGAGAGCCCATTGAGGTCATGATTTGTGAATGTGTTTTTCAACTGTGCGCATGATAAGAATGGAGAAGTGATATTGAACAGTTTATTTGGAGGGAGTTTATCTAGAAACCCCATCCACTGTGATTTATTAGAGAAATACTCCCACTTTTTCATCCCTGTTCTTTGGACTAAAGATCCTGAACTCTTCACAGTGTACTCTGTCTACAGTGAGACAAAAAGGAATCCCTGTTCTTGGTTATGATCAGGGAACTTTAAGCTCAGAGTCTCTGTGACCCCAAGACTCTCAGCATCCCTATGGTGGTCTTACAAGTGTTGACAGTCTTCCCTGCATGTCACAAAATAGCACCCTAGCACTGCATAAATATAACTTCTGAATCTGTTTGTATTATTATACATTTGTGGTGACTGTAGGTATACGTCCTCATTTCTTCCTGATTCATTGTGAAGCAGTAGCTATACAAATAGTACCTGGTTTGGGACTGATCCATCCTTATTTGGTCAATTCCTAATTTTGCGTAGAGAAGGAATTAGTTGCTTGTTTTTATCATTTGTTGGTTTCTCCAACTGAAGTTTCAATCAATATTTCTTTCTATCACCTCCCAGCAGACCCACCTTCAGCCCAATCATTGTACCCTCACAAAATGCAGGCCAGCACGGTGGTTCACGCCTGTAATCCCAGCACTTTGGGAGCCCAAGGTAGGTGGATCACCTGAGGCCAGAAGTTCAAGACCACCCTGGCCAACATGGCGAAACCCCAGCTCTACAAAAATACAAAAATTAGCCAGGTGTGGTGGTACATGCCTGTAGTCCCAGCTACTCGGAAGGCTGAGCTAGAAGAGTCAAGTGAACCCCAGAGGCGGAGGTTGCAGTGAACAGAGACGGTACCACTGCACTCCAGCCTGGGCAATAGAGCAAGACTCCATCTTAAAAGGAAAAGAAAGAAAATGCTGCATTGGAACCGAATCATTTCCTGAGTGTTAAAAAAAAAAAAAAAGAAAAAAAGAAAAAAGAAAATGCAAATGTACTGTAATATGCCTAAGCAAAATTATTTGTTAATTCTGATTTAGAAAAATTCTTACTTACTTGGCTTTGAAATGCATTGTGTAATTTTGTAATTACAGAATGCATTTCAAAGCCAAGCAAGTAAGAATTTTTGGTTGTCTACATTTCTATAAATATAATAATAATTGTGTTTTTATTTATTTTTCTATCCTGGCTTTCAGCCGAATCAGAAGATTCTTTAGGAATGGACCATGTCGAGTCTGCAGGATCCATCCCCCTTTTCCTTTTTGTCCTACAATATTCTTTTATTGCAATTTAACTGAAAAAACTTTTGTAAATATCAGTGTGTATTTGTGATTTTCCAGCAAATAAAAGTGTAATGTTGTTATCCAATTAAATAATTAACATATGGAATTTAATCACAGGTTTCAAGTGCTTTCCCTGCCAATCTTTTAGAGCCTGTTAGTATATTTAGATATGAATGAAGTAATAGCCACCTAAACAGTCCAATCCTAGAACAGAGAAGGAATTTATTGAAGGCATTTTTAGAACAGTGGCAGCTCATAGCATCAATCAGCCTCCTCTCAGTTACATCCTTCAGGCTAATAGCCCAGGAGTGTATTCATGCGTGCAAATAAGCAGGGAACCACAGTCCTGGACATCCTGGACTGATGTGATGCCTTCATTCTAAAACAGTCTCGTTTGTTCCAACAAAAACTGCCGCTTGCACAGTGACTATTCATCCGTCCAACTGGTAATAAATGAATTACACTTGTATTTAGGCTTTTCTTTTCAAGTCTAATTAGTGGTAAGCTTAGGACACTTTTAATTAGTGGTAAGCTTAAGACACTTTTAATATGCTAAGATATATAGACATTTAGGTCTATTATTATATATTGAAAAATTAATCTCATTTAGCAAAATGGATCCATTTCCTCAGCCAGAATAAGAAAAAAGATGGCTCTGTAATGAAGCTATTTAAGATTTTTCTATCAGCATTCAACATTTAAAATAAGTTGCTTTACAAATTAAAGAAATCAAAAGATGGCTTCAGGTCCTCAGTCATGAGAAGCAATCCAGACTTGAAGATGAAGAAAGAATGTGACATGTAGGAGGTAATTAGAAAACTTAAAGTGAGTTGTTCTATTTCTACAAGAAAAAATGATGGATCTGAAACATATCCTTCCAATTTAACACTTATGTCTCCTTTGGTTCAAGAGGATGGGTGTGCACATGCACACACACACACACACACACACACACACACACATCCCAGACCAGGAAAGGCCTTATAAGGGCATACAATTCAACTCACTCCTTTCTTAAGTGAGGAGATCTGAGTTTCAAGAGGAAATGTCTTGCTTAAGAGTGCAGCTAACACCACTGGAGCCAAGATATTGCCCCATGTGTTCTCATTGTTCAACATCCACTTATGAATGAGAACATGCGGTGTTTGGTTTTCTGTTCTTGTTTCAGTTTGCTAAGAATGATGGTTTCCAGTTCCATCCATGTCCCTGCAAAGGACATGAACTCATCCTTTTTTATGGCTGCAACAATCTGCACATGTACCCCAGAACTTAATTTAATAAAAAATCTTGAAAAAAATATATTTTCCCAAGATTTTCACTCTGATGCAGTGAACTGCACTCCTAACTCTTAAGGAGTGAACCCTCAGCTGGTTTCTGGCCTCCCAGCAGAATCTTAAACTGCAGGGAAGATACTGTTCCTCCCTTTGGCAGGCCAGAAGCCATCCAATCCAAGAGACCATAATTGAGCCTCCAGGATTCCAGGGAAACCAGAGCAATCACCCCAGAATCACTCTAGTGCTCTTGTGTTTTTTTTTCCTAATGAGAGAAATGGGCGTGCAGGGGCTCTTGACACATTTGACTTGAATGTATGTGGAGCTATTTGCAAGTGATCCAGGAGCCACATGGGAAAGCAGATTGTGCTGAGAGGCGACCTGGCCCCAGGAAAAGCAGGTGGAGGGGAGGGGATTTGCTTGCACTCAGAGACAAGGCAAGTCCAGGGACACCCACGACAAAGTGCGGTCTTCATCCAAGTCACTGCTGGCTGACTCAGCTGTGGTCATGCTTTGTGCCTCCCAGTAGCCAACTGCCTTCTAAAGAAATAAACATCAGCTTTTAAAGAGTTCAAATTGGTTTTATTCAGAAGTCTTACTGAGGACGACAGCCCGGGGGGGAGTCTTTCAGAGAGGTTCTGCTGGATACCTCCAAAGCTGTGAACTGTGTTCACAGTTTATATGCAGGTATGAAGATTCAGCACATGTACAATCACATCAAAGCCTGGGTGGAAGGGTATATCTGGTTATAGTTTACAGAAGCATAATCATTAACTGCATCAGATGTTATCTTATGTGCAGAAAAAGGCAAGGATTAGGGTCATTCATCTTTTGAGAAATAGTGACTTAGGCAAGAGACGTGGGTCCCAATAGGATGCTGTCAGCTGTGGTTCTTGTTCTTAACTTAAAATGCTACATGTCATAAAAAATAACTACATTTCTTTGTCAATTGAAAACTTTCATCAGATTTTACTATGGCTATTCTAAGTTTTGTCTCTATGCTGTTTTGTCTTCACAGCATTCCTCTGGAGAGCTGCACGTTTTCACAGTCAGAGGCTTTGTGAACTTTGTGAAATTTTGCTGGCAAGCAGCAGTGAGCACACGTGGCTTCTTACCTTTGCTACTTTATCTCACATGGTGATGTGAGACAAACGCAGCATCTCTTGAGGTGCGCCGACCAGAGACACATCACCTCCTGAGGCTGCTGATGCCCTCTTTTTATAATTTTAATTCTTATGGGTGCCGGGCACGGTGGCTCAAGCCTGTAATCCCAGCACTTTGGGAGGCCGAGGCGGGTGGATCACGAGGTCAAGAGATCGAGACCGTCCTGGTCAACATGGTGAA